AATTATTCATCACCTCCTCCCTCCCTGAATCTCTGGACCCCCTGCAGTTTGCCTACAGAGCAAACAGGTCCACAGACGACGCCATAGCCCTCACCCTCCACACTGCCCTCTCACACCTGGACCCGAAGAACAGGAACACATATGTGAGAATGCTGTTCATTGACTACAGTTCAGCATTCAACACCATTGTGCCCTCCAAGCTGGCCATCAAGCTCAGAGACCTCGGGCTCAACAGCGCCCTCTGTGACTGGATCCTGAACTTCCTGACGGGCAGACCCCAGGCAGTGCGGGTGGGAAATATCACATCCTCCACCCTGATTCTCAACACCGGTGCCCCTCAAGGCTGCGTGCTCAGCCCTCTCCTCTACTCCCTGTTCACCCACGACTGCGTGGCCACACACAGCTCCAACACCATCGTGAAGTTTGCTGATGACACGACCGTCATCGGCCAGATCACAGACGATGACGAGACGGCGTACAGAGAGGAGGTCGAAAACCTGACATCTTGGTGCCAGGAGAACAACCTCCATCTCAACATCAGCAAAACAAAGGAGCTGATTGTGGACTACAGGAAGCAGCAGGGAGAGGGACACGCCCCCATCGCCATCAATGGGACTACGGTGGAGAGAGTCAAAAGCTTCAGGTTCCTTGGGGTCCACATCACTGAGGACCTGACATGGTCTCTTCACACCACCACCACCATCACCAAGAAAGCTCGACAGCGGCTCTTCTTCCTCCGCAGGTTGAGGAGGTTCAAAATGGATCCCAGGATACTCTGCAACTTCTACAGGTGCACGATAGAGAGTATCCTCACTGGCAGCATGACGGCCTGGTACGGCAGCTGCACCGACCTCGATCGTAAGGCTTTACAGAGGGTGGTGAAAACTGCACAGCACATCAACAGGACGGAGCTGCCATCCATGGAGGACCTTTACTCCCAGCGGCTCAGGAAGAAATCACTACGGATTATCAAAGACCCCCATCACCCCAGCCACAAACTGTTCTTTCTGTTGCCGTCTGGCAGACGTTACCGCAGCATCCTGGCAAGGACAAGAAGATTCGGAGACAGTTTCTTCCCGCGGGCAGTGAGACTGTTAAAAAATTGAACTGTTGAAACAACATCAAACATTCAACTGCTACTCAGTAGTATGTATCTAATACCTAATATATATATATCATTCCAATAACTTGTATATAGACTCATACTGCACTATTCCACATCATAACTTTATTTCATTTTTATAACTATTATTATTTTTGTATTGCTCATGCTCTTATTGTTATTATGTAATGTTATTATGTTGCATTGTTGGAGAAGCCTGTGACATAAGATTTTCAACTGCATAATTACTCTGTAGCTATGTCAGATTGACAATAAAGAACCTTGAACCTTGAACCTTGAACTTTGAATCCTGAAAATCCTGAAAATCTCCGCTCGCCTGCCCACAATGCATTTCGGCGAAAAGTGAGGGAAAGTGACGTCACCCCATTCAAAGTGAATGGGCAGAAGCGTTTCAAGATTTTTTTAACGCTGCTGTGTAGACGTTCCGTAAGGCTTAATATAACTTAAAGGAGAGGTGTCATGGCCATTTCCACTGATCATAATTCCATTGTTCAGGTCTACTAAAATAGATTTATATTGTGCATTTCTCCAAAATCACATTGGTTTCTCATACAGCATCTCTGTAAACTACGTGTATTCACTGAATTACCTAATTATAAACCCTTTATGAATCCTTTATAAGGGTAGTATTTTCGTCTTTGTTCGGTTTATTTTCTTGTATTCCAATAATACACATATAAAGAACAATGGTTTCACCTTTCACCTTTCCTGTGTTCCTCCTGGTAAATACCATATGCTCAAACTGGTGCCAATCCCACCACCTCGTGTCCAATATATAATTATCAGTATCAGCACTTCCTGCCCCTGATTGAACTCCACCTGCTTCCCATCCCATTAGCCTCACCTGTGCCCCATTATCATCCCTCCCCCTGTCTATTTAGTCTGCGTCCACATTCCCCTCAGTGCCAGTTCGTCTTAGTTATTCCTAGCGTTCCATCAGTGTTTATTCCTAGTATCTTGATTCCACGTGTACCTGACCCAGCTTCGTGTCCTGACCCTGTTCCTGCCTAATCCTCGTCTGTTTTGGTTGCCTTACTGACTGATCTACCGTGTACCGAACCTCTGCAATAAAGACCTTTTTGCAACCTACGCCTCTGTCCCTGAGTCATGCTTTTAGCCGCTTTCACAATAAGTACTTTGCCGCACTTAGTGCCCCGGCACTTAGTACCCCAGGGCACTAAGTACCAATCGCGTTCACACCGGAATAAGTTCCCTGAGGGAAGATTACGCAAATGAGCCGCTGACGTCACTTCTTCTTCTTCTGCTTTGGGTTTACTGGCAGGCCGCAAACAACTTCACGGCGTATACTGCCACCCGGAGTCCCCGGCCGGAAGTCCCCGGAGTTGGGGACTGGCTTCAGTAGAAGCTGCTGGGACTCCCAGCAGCTTCTACTGAAGCCTTCAGAGTAAATCGCCAGAACGCCGACACCTCCTCATCTCCACCGCTCCCATGTTTTTTTTTGTGTTGCCATAAGTTGTTCTCTCTTTGTTGGTGCGCTGGGCTAATGCTAATGCTAATAATGCTAATGCCAGCAAATACAATGGCGGCTTCACAAAACTTTTCCGAGTTTTACGGGGCGTGGTTTGCAATTCGCCCAGCCAATAGAAATTGGTACTTTTTTGGTACTTTTTTGGTACCACCTCTCTAGCAGGCACTAAAAATGGGGGTAAAAGTTCCCGGCACTTAGTACTCTTTTTGGTGTGAACGCAACATAAGGGGTACTAATGGAACTAAACGGGAAAAGTACGGGGTAAAAGTACTCCGGTGTGAACGCGCCTATCGAGTCTTCTACTGGTGTTCTCTCAGTCGTTACAGTAACCAACTGGACTCTTTGCTAAAGTGGATTGAACTGTATATATTAGCCGCGTTCACACCAAGTACTTTGCCGTACTTAGTGCCGGCACTTAGTGCCCCGGCACTTATTACCCCAGGGCACTTAGTACAGATTGCGTTCACACCGGAATAAGTTCCCTGAGGGAAGATTACGCAAATTAAGCCGCTGACGTCACTTCGTCTTCTTCTGCTTTGGGTTTACTGGCAGGCCGCAAACCACTTCACGGTGTATACTGCCACCCGAAGTCCCCGGCCGGAAGTCCCCGGAGTTGGGGAAGGCTTCAGTAGAAGCTGCTGGGAGTCCCAGCAGCTTCTACTGAAGCCTTCCGAGTATATCGCCAGAACGCCGACACCTCCTCATCTCCACCGCTCTCATGTTTTATTTTGTGTTGCCATAAGTTAGTCTCTCTGCGTTTGTGCACTGGGCGAATGCTAATGCTAATAATGCTAATGCGAGGATAATAAAATGGCAGCTCTACAAAACATTTCAGAGTTTTACGGGGCGTGGTTTGCTATTCGCCCAGCCAATCAGAACTGGGGCACTTTTTTCCCCCAGGAAAGTACCATCTCTCAGCAGGCACTAAAAATGGGGGTAAAAGTTCCAGAGATTAAGTGCTCTTTTTGGTGTGAACGCGACATAAGGGGTACTAACGGAACTAAAGGGGAAAAGTACGGGGAAAAGTACTCCGGTGTGAACGCGGCTATTGACTCTTTTCACCACACACTGATTCTGACTGGCACCCCATTTTATTAAAAGTAGGTCAAACCCGCTACAAAGTAGGAGAGGTGTCATGGCCATTTCCACTGATCATAATTCCATTGTTGAGGTCTACTAGAATAGATTTATATTGTGCATTTCTCCAAACTCACATTGGTTTCTCATACAGCATCTCTGTAAAGTACGTGTATTCACTGAATTTCACTCTCTGCCTTTAACGGCTCGTTGTAGCTCCAATAGCTCCAGCCCCCACCCTCCCTGTGAGCACAGTGTGCTCTGATTGGTCGGGACGTTGTGAATCGCGCTGAGCTCCGTGGAGGTGTTGTTTCCTTGTTTAGGATACATAGCGAAACACAGCCAAACTCATCCTGAGCACACACAAACTCCCAGTCGAAGTAAAAACAATAAGTGTGTCTTGATATTGAGTAAGAAAAAGGTTGATAAACGCTGTGAGAATGGGTCTGCAGAGAGAATGGGTCTGCAGAGAGAATGGGTCTGCAGAGAGAATGGGTCTGCAGAGAGAATTTCGCCGCGATCCCAACTGTCTGTTGTCAGCCTGCAGCCAGGGAGGAGAAATCAGCAGAGCTGCTTGTGTGTGAGGAAGTCCGTGGATTGGTCAATTTGGACCAATCAGCGGGGGCTTAACGTAACGGCTCCGCGGACGTAACGTAACGGCTCCACGGATTGGTCCATTTCGTTCCGCATCATGTCATGCCGTACCCGGAAGAATCAAATGGGCAGTGACGCATCTCCAACGAGGCGTTTTGGGGAGGTATTTTCTGTGTTAGAGTTTTACTCGCTACAGGGTGTACTTTGAGGGTTTGTGACTCTGCACACCGTTTACATGCAGAAAAACCTTCAAAACACACAAGGGGACGGGTAATAACTGGAAAAGCATGACACCTCTCCTTTAAGGTATTCACTATAATCTGTTCAATGTTATCTGACTCTCCAGATATGAATGAAAGGCCATGTTTTTAGATTTGTTCACGCCTTCTTATATTTAGTTATATTGCCTTTTGAAAAATAAAGATAATTTTGACAATGACAATTGTTATATAGCAGTGTATTTTTATGTTTAAAAAATGTCAGGAGGGACGATGCCCCATGGGCTTATTCACATTATCAAATCCGGCCCTCTTTGAAAAAAGTTTCGACACCCATGATCTCTAGAGAATTCTAACAGATATTAAGGCTGCCACTTCTGGGTCATTTCCCTCAGTTAGGAACGCTCCAAAGCAAAATTGACAATTCGACCACAACCAAAGTCTAAAAAGCAGCACATAAATCAACAGTATTTAACTTGTTTCTTTGTTTAATTTTTAGTTCATCCAAAATGAGCCAGTCATCAACTGAGGAACCACCTGAGTTGAATACGTGGACCAAAGAGGACGTCCACCACTGGCTGATGAATGTGGTCAAAGTTCCTCCGAGTTGTGCCGATTCTTTTCTGGAGGAGGAAGTGTGTGGAGAAGTTCTCAATGAGATTGAGAAGTCAGATATATTGAAATTTAAAATACCACACGGCCCCGCTGTCAAAATCTCCCATTATCTAGAGAGGCTTAAGAAAGGATCACAACATGAGTCCCAGTTCCCAGCTGAAGTGGAAAACTGGACAAAGGAGGAAGTGGCTCAGTGGTTAGTGGGGCATTTGAAGGGCGATGGCAAAAAGGCTGAACGATTGCAAGAGCAAGAAGTGTCTGGAGATTGTCTTGTTTGCTTCGAGGAGCAGGATTTCCTGCATCTGGGGCTAAAGAGGGGTCCCGCTATCAAGATCCTGAAGGAGCTCAGGCGACTGAGAAATCAAGAGTCAATGCCACCATCCAGAATCAAAACTTTCTTTATGGGCAAAAACAAACAAGCAGGCAAGAATCTGCCAATGGAGAGAAAGACAACTGAAGTAACATTTCAGGTTTGTTTTCCAGTTCATGAGAATGTTGTTGTTGTTTGAGCGGTGTGAGAAATATCGGCTTCTTCCAGGTTCAACTTTAGTGCTTTATTTTTTCATTTCTATTCTGTTTTTTTCTTCAGAATCCAGCCCCGTTGATCAAGGATACCCTGGATGGGCTTTCGACAAAGGATTTCAACCATTTTAAATTTGGTCTGGAGCATTACACAGACCCTGAGTGCACAGCAATTCCCCTGTGCAAACTGGAAGGTAAAGACACCAGTGACATCGCTACAGCAGTGACCAACAACTACGGACCTGACAAGGCTTTACGCGTCACACAACATGTTCTCCGAGATATACATCGGCGTGATCTTGCTGACCAACTGCAAAGCCACATGGGTAAGAATGTTTCTCCCACTCTCTTCACACAGTCCTGTAGGCGTCTTTCGGTTTTCTAACCCAGTTGAGATTTAACCACGCCTACTTCCACATTGACGTAGCTTTGCGCGACTGCATCACGGATGGAAAACGAAAACGACAACCCCATGTTAACAACATCAAGTAATATCATGTATACTCTAGTTTGGGTAAATGGGCCGCTAAAAATATGATCAATTTAGTATTTATTGGACCACAGTTAGTTAAGCACCTCTCTGCACGGTTCCTCTTCCTACTTCCCTTTCGAATCATAAATCTATCGATTAGATTTATGATACGAAAATTATAAAAGTAGGTATGCATGTGGAGATTATCCGGCTGAACAAAACGTGCATTTATCAAACAGGTTCGTTTTCCACAGATCTTATTTTTTACAATATTCCAAAATCCTATGAAGAAAACTCATTGCTTTTTTGTCGAGGGAACCCATGTGCAGCTTACTTAGGGGTCGGCCTAAAAAAATACGTCATCCCTGCACAGCTAATAATAACTGTGATCATCTTTCACGTTGAAAATAGCACTTTTTTCATTGATCTACTTGAAAAACATGCTCTATGAAGCGACTGTAGCTGGGTTGGAAAAAAGGATAGACACATGTGTTTTCCAAATGTCAGTAGTATGCATTCACTGATGCAAATCTTCAGCTTTAACTCAACAGTCTGATTAGCTTTGTATCGTTATTGATTTACTTTTATAGAATTCAATATCAGTTACTCTACTAATTGATTCATAATTTAATGCTCATACAGGTTTGGTGGAGGTCCGCCAAAAACCTTGTGTCGATGAGGACAAAACAACGCAGTCAGACTCGTCATGCGTGTCCGGATCTGAATTCACATCGAGAAAAAATAAAAAAATAAATAAAAAATCTTCCTGTTTTAATTTTAATGGTAACTTAACATTGTTTAAGTGCTGTTCTCCATGATTTAGTCCATTTAAGGAATCGTACCAAGCCATGCATTAGTGATGTCATACTTTTGACATCATAATTATTGTCATAAGTGTTAGACCAAAATGTCTTAAAGGTCTCCTATCATGCAAAATGCACTTGTTGATGTCTTTTATACATCAACATGTGTCCCCGGTGTGTAAGGGTACACACAAAGTGTCAGAAAACAAAACCCTCTCTCTTTTCCTCCGTACCCAAATCTCTGAAAACGGGGGAACAACGGAGCTGATCCAGATTTGCTGCCGATATGACGTAATATCGGAAATGTGGGCTGGCTTTACACCCACGGGCCTATCAGAAACGTTGCTATCAGAAACAATGCCCGATGTGTTTTGGTCTGTGTTTACATTAGCATGCTAACACTCAGAGCTAACCTGTACTGGAGAGAGTATGTGTAAAGAGGCAGGAAATAAAAAGGAACTCACCTTGTGGTAAACCTGAGAGAGAGAAAGAGTTTGAGCTCCATACTGTTTCAGAAATAATCCTTGATGTGGTTTAGAACATGATATGGAGTTTAATCACGGCAGCGTTTAGCTGCATCTGAGCAGACAGCCTGCTCGTCACAGACCTCACAGCTTGCCATGCCGTGCTCCAAAGGGGGCGGGGCCAGCAGCAACACATCTCTGCCATGAAGCTATGTAATGTCTACTTCATACTGTTGAATTTACTTTAAAGGTCACCTATCATGCTATTTTAAGGCATTTATTATGGGTCTCAGATTTTGTGTCCTTAGCTTGAAAAAAATAAAAAGAGGAGGCGGAGCTAATGCCTGATCAGAATTCTACCGGAGATAAAGTTTAATTCTGCTGTGATAAAACGCCATCCTGTTCTAAACCACACCAAGGATTATTTCTGAAACAGCATGGAGCTCAAATGCTTTTTCTCTTGCGGGTTTATCACAAGGTGAGTTCCTTTTTTAATTTCCTGCTTTTTAAACACATGTGCTCTCCAGTACAGGTTAGCTCTGAGTGTTAGCGATGCTAATGTAAACAAAGACGAGATTACATCCAAAACACGCCAGGCATTGTTTCTGATAGCAACTCTCTGTGGGTCCACCATCTGAAATTACGTCATATCGGCAGCAAATCTGTATCCGCTCGTTGTTCCCCCGTTTTTAAAAGATTTGGGTACGGAGGAAAAGAGAGGGTTTTATTTTCTGACGCTGCGTGAGTTCCCTGACACACCGGGGACACATGTTGATGTATAAAAGACATACAAAAGTGCATTTTGCATGATAGGTCCCCTTTAAATATTTGTTCTTTTTGAATGTTGCTGAAAAAACATGCAGTAAATTTGTTATCTTTTCTACGACATTGTTTCTCGCTGTTTTCGGTCCCAGGAGACCAAACTGAAGATTCTCTGAATCAGGAACTGAAGCTTACAAATCTTTATTTGTATTTTTTGTAAATATAGTTTGGTCTTTTGATATGTCTTTTGTTATATGTATTTGTGATTTTTTTAGTTTTTTTGTGTGTTTTATGAAATATCTTTTTGTATGCTGACATTTTGTTTTTTACTTACCGGCTACCCTTGTCGGCAACGTGCAGATACGAAGTTGTGCTATTTGATAGAGATTATAAAAATAAAAAGCTAATCATTGCATTTGGGTATATATGTTACTTGCTGGTCATTTTATAAAACATGTTGTCTCCCTAGAATTATTTGTTAAACTAGAACCAGAGAGACTATAAATAACCAGTTAATTAATTATCTACGATTGTTATATAACTAGGTTGCATAACATATTCCAAATAGCTACTCAAGTCCTGATTTATTTTTTATTATCTTTGCTTTTTAAATGCCTTTGTATAATCCTCTGTATTTGTTCTTAAATGTCTTCGATTTTATTTTGTAAAGCACTTTGGGTTGCCGTGTGCGGTAAGGTGCTATATAAATAAACTTGCCTTGCCTTGCCTTGAATGCTGTGATTGTTAATAGAACAAGAGATAGCAACATGTGGGAGTTGGGCTGGTGTCAAAGATTGCCAAATGTTAAAATGTAGAAGAATCTATTTAGCTGATAAGCCAAACTTACAACTAAAAAGGTTCAAGGGTGGTGCTAAAACCTCCACTGCTTCCACTGTATATATGTGAGAGATTTGCTCCAGTTTGTGACTCTTACAACCTCAGACCCAGTGCCTGGATACGGTTCCAGGTTCCTGCTGTGCGGACTGAGGCTGGAAAAAGGAGTCTTTTTTCATTATGGTCCTTGGTCTTGGAATGACCTTCAATCACGCCTCAAACTGACGGCACTTGTCCCTATAGCCTGTTTTAAATAGAAGTTGTCTGAGGTCCTCACCACCAGCTGCTCTTGCAGTAATAAGTAGTGTACCTTTCTTACTGTCCTAATGTGCACAATGTAGTGACTGCTTTTCGTCTTTTGTTTACTTAGTTGTGTTCTCTGTATTTTACATGTTTGTGTTCTGTGTAACGTTGCTGCCTTCTTGAAACAACTTCAAAACATTCTTCTGCTACTCAGTAATATGTATCTAATATCTAATATATATCATTCCAATAACTTGTATATAGACTCGTACTGCACTATTCCACATGCTCACTTTATTTTATAACTATTTTTCTTTTTGTATTGCTCTTGTTATCTGTATTGTTATTATGTTGCATTGTTGGAGAAGCCTGTGACATAAGATTTTCAACTACATAATTACTCTGTAGCTATGTTAGATTGACAATAAAGAACCTTGAACCTTGAACCTTCTTGGCCAGGTCAGCATTGTAAATTAGATTTTATCTCAATGCTTTTTATCTCGTTGAATAAAGGTTCAATAAAAACCACAGGAATAAAGATGTCAGTCAATAATAATGGCAACTGTGATCTGAGTTCACGCTGTTTTCCACACAACAGGAGTCTTTATCTAACAGCTCTGAGGCTTCCTGTTACTACCTCCTACCCTGCCTCCTACCTCCTACCACTGACCCTGCCTCCTACCTCCTACCCTGCCTCCTACCACTGACCCTACCTCCTACCCTGCCTCCTACCTCCTACCACTGACCCTGCCTCCTACCACTGACCCTACCTCCTACCACTGACCCTACCTCCTACCTCCTACCACTGACCCTGCCTCCTACCACTGACCCTGCCTCCTACCTCCTACCACTGACCCTACCTCCTACCACTGACCCTGCCTCCTACCTCCTACCACTGACCCTACCTCCTACCACTGACCCTGCCCTCCTGCCTCCTACCACTGACCCTACCTCCTACCCTACCTCCTACCACTGACCCTACCCTACCCTACCCCACTGACCCTGCCTCCTACCACTGACCCTACCTCCTACCACTGACCCTGCCTCCTACCTCCTACCACTGACCCTGCCTCCTACCACTGACCCTGCCTCCTACCACTGACCCTACCTCCTACCACTGACCCTGCCTCCTACCACTGACCCTACCTCCTACCACTGACCCTGCCTCCTACCACTGACCCTGCCTCCTACCACTGACCCTGCCTCCTACCACTGACCCTACCTCCTACCACTGACCCTACCTCCTACCACTGACCCTGCCTCCTACCACTGACCCTACCTCCTACCACTGACCCTACCTCCTACCTCCTACCACTGACCCTGCCTCCTACCACTGACCCTACCTCCTACCACTGACCCTGCCTCCTACCACTGACCCTGCCTCCTACCACTGACCCTGCCTCCTACCACTGACCCTACCTCCTACCACTGACCCTACCTCCTACCTCCTACCACTGACCCTGCCTCCTACCTCCTACCACTGACCCTACCTCCTACCACTAGACTCAACTATGCCCCTCTCTGTCTGTAAACCAAACGCTAATAAAGCCATATCATAACACTACTGTGTAATTAATTGATGTCTTGTGTTTTGTGATTACTGCCTTGTCTTAGCAGGCACAGGCTAGACTCTAGTACAACCTGCCTTTTGAATAATAATAATTACTGTATTTATTTTATATATATATTAACATCTTAAAAGCGTTATTCATATTAATAAGATGTAGACCCAGAATGTAATAATAAATTACTTTAATATGAAATGAAATTCCTTCACAGCTGCTTTTTGCTTGGAAGAATATCCATGTTCACTTTTTTAGTTAAAGACTTTAAATACATAGTCACCTTAGTTTATAGTTTACTCCTATTTCATTTCTCTTATCTTAGTGTGAAGACCTAAAACCCGCTTTAACAAAAATGTATAGAAAATGGGATTATGTCCAGAATATAATTGGATAAAAGTAGGGGGAAGAGTGACTTTGGTGCAGAACCACATTCCAGGTGTTAATGGAGAAAGAGCTTTGAGTGTTCGACAGGTGAAGGCATTTTGTGTGAAGGCAAAGTCATCAGTAATCTATAGAGTGGATTTCTAACTATCCTAAAAATGTGTAAAATGTATAGAAATGATTTTGAATAATGTGAAGCAGGGTGAAGGTCAAAGAAAAGAGAGGAACAATCAAAGCAGATTCATTATATTTTAATCTTTCTGTAAAGGAAATCATATAAATTAAAACTTGGTGATTTTAAAGGGAACTTAAAGAACAGGTTATCTGTCGACAGAGGTCAGAGGTCATCAGAGAGATTAGTAGAAGGGCAGAAAACAGTCGATGAAGAAGAGCGAGATATCCAATCACTATCTCTGAGAAATATTACAATTTTATTCTTTTTTATTTACCATTTTTCCCTCAATCTGCTGCAGCCATTTCCTACATTTCCCAGAATGCCGTTGACAACCAAATTCAGGGAGCATCCATGTCAACAAGTAAATGGTCAAAGAGCGTTAAGCATAGGAAGTAAAGATGGACATTTCAATTAATCAATTTAAAGAAAACCGAAAGAAGTCCATCTCTCACTCGAGACAGAAAACAGTGAAACTGAATGTCCTGTAGTCATAAATATGATATAGTAGTAAGCTCTGATTTCTCTTAATGTTGGTTTATTCAAGAAGACTTTAGACAATAAGCACAAACAAAGGTTGACTTATTAAATGGCACAACCACAATAGGCACAACGAGTATGATTTCTCAATCTTCACGTATCACCCTCTCTAATCGTGTATCTGCAGAACCAGCTGAGTCTCAACGTCTAACGTACTAAATCGTAAGCATGCATCCAAGAAGCAGAAGCTGCAGAAATGGCGAACACGTTGCTGAAGAAATGCAAATAAATCGTGGGCGAGATGCTAAGCAAACACAACTCGTTCCAGAGAGAATCAGGTGATGCTTTTTTTGTTTACAAAGCGCAACAGACTACTCATTGTGCCTTTTAAAACCAGCTGACTGCCAACATGCAACATGCCGGCGTTAGAGGAATGACACAAGCTGTTAATCAGACTGTTTTCACATCTTTCTGAATCCATGTGGAGTGGTGACGGCGCTATGCAACGTAATGAAGTTACATCTAATTTACATTACATCCTTAAGGAAGCTTTTTGAGAAATACAATTATCCTTTTTCCATCCAAGGGTTGGATGAGAAGATTGATACCCCACAGAAAAGTATTGTGCACAAGACGACATATTAATTATTGTATTCACACAAAACACGACATGTTAATTAATCTTTTATAGTTTGAGAGGTGATGGTAGGTTGTTAACTTTGGACAGAAAGAAGCTAATCGTTTCCCCTGTTCCTTTACTTCATGCTAAGCTAAGCTAACGTGGCTGAAGCTTCATATTTCCCCGACTCTTGTGGACGAGAGGTCTTCCCAATCTCTTTGTCTCCTGTAATCTGTCTAATAAAATCAAAAATCGGCCCCAAAATACTAAAAGAAAGGGACAACAATCACCAGAAATCACAGCTGCTCACTGATGCGTGGTCGAGCTGCAGGAGCGCCTCTGCTGAACGTCTAAAAGTAAAGAATGTAGTATTGGAAAGGACCCTAGAAATAAACACGTTCTTTGACCGGGAGTAAAATAAAATATGATATCAAAGCCCTGGTAGTTCCAACATTCATAGAGCACATACAAGACTATGTATTTAACCATTACACAGCTCATAAGGAGAAGATATTCATTCGCTTTTCACCGTGTGCAGCACAGCGTCCACCGTCTGAATCTGAGAGGAATTATTTTGATGTCCCACGAGCCTCTGGAGCTTTATCAGAAGCTCGGAAAACACCCACAGTCACTTCAGTAGTTTTTCCTCTTCCCTCAGAGGCAGATTGTTTGAGTTATTTCACTCCACAAAACCCCTCCCTCCTCTCGCTCAGTTTGAACAAACACTCGTTCTACTGTGACGGAGAGAACGTCAGGACCATCCACCCGATCACGAAGTAGAACAGGAACACGGGGTAAACGACCAGAGATTTTCGCCCGGGGGGTTGGTTGTCGGCGAGAAAAGCCGTGGAGGCGAAGGTGGACCAACCAAAAGACGCCGTTACGACCACGAGGCGCACGATGAAGCTTACTGTCCCCGAGCCGCCCACCAGAACGATACGACACACCGCCATGGCCGCCGTCAGAGGCATGATGCAGTATCCCAACACACACAGGCTCTGGAAGAAAGAGATGGTGCCGCCCAGAAGCTTGGAGTTCAGGGTGATGATGATGGAGCCGAACCACACGATGACGAAGACCTGGGGGAGAAAATATTGAAGATGTGAGTGAGGAGAGATTTATCGCTTTGTGTAAGAGACAGAAATAAGTTTAAGACTTGAATTCATTTATGTTTTATAATTCTTTGTGTGATAGAGATGATGCAATGTTCTAGTGTTTGTTATGTACCTGCCTAAGGACTGCAGATGGAAATTAGCTATTGGCTATAATCTGGCATAATTCATCCCTTCTCTTTTCTGAGATTAATGTATTTTAATGCATGGTCCTTGTTGAAATAAATACATAATAATAATAATGACTAATGCAGCAGAGGAGATAAGATACTCAAGTACAATATCCCAGTACTTCTACTTTTACTCAAGTACAAGATACTGGTACTTCTACATGTTAAGACAGTGTGGTTGAGGACATTCCCTCTTTACTAAAGCGCTTCTGGCTTCATCTGTGTTTGTAAAGTACAAGATCTGTGTACTTCTACCACCCCTGTATATAGAAGTTAGTTACCAATCATGAGTCAGGAGGCAGACAGTGTCCAACATGTTGAGAGTGTCTTCCCTTTTACTAAATCACATCTGGCTTCATATGTGTTTGTTAATCTTCAAAGCCCACTGACACAGACGTGTTTCCGGACACTTTGTGAGTTCCCTGACACACCAGCAGAGACACATATTGATGTAACAAAGACATCAAAAAGTGCATTTAGCATGATAGGAAACCTTTAATAACGCCGCTGCTGGCTTCATCTAAGTGTGTTCATCTGTAACCCCCACTGACACACAACGTCAGTCGTGTTTTTCTGGCATTAGGCTTTATAAATAAACGTTGATGTGACACTACAGTCAGGTACCTCAGTCCCAGTACTTCTACTTTGAATACTAATCTCTAATCCCCACTGACACGAACGTGTTTTCTGACACTGGGCGGCAGTCAGGTACCTCAGCCCCCCTGGTCATCGCTCACCCAGTACTTCTACTTTTACTCAAGTACAAGATCCCAGTACTTCTACTTTTACTCAAGTACAAGATCCCAGTACTTCTACTTTTACTCAAGTACAAATTATCCCAGTACTTCTACTTTTACTCAAGTACAAGATCCCAGTACTTCTACTTTTACTCAAGTACAAGATCCCAGTACTTATACTTTTACTCAAGTACAAGATCCCAGTACTTCTAGCCCACTGACACAACCGTGTTTTCTGACATTAGGATCAGAGGTGGGAAGTAGTGGAGTACAATGACATGAGGATACATAAATACACATTGTCAGGTACCTCAGCGAACTGCGGCCCCCCCTGGTCCTCGCTGTCCGCGGCTCCTCCCTGGAGCAGCAGGGCCAGGGTGACGCACAGCAGCAGCGGGCCCCACAGGTCCCAGTCCCGCAGCAGCACGGAGCTCCTCTTCGGGTACAGCACGTGGATGAATTTACTGCCCACCGCCCGAAGATCCCGCAAAATGGTCTCCTTCACAGGCTCATCCAGGGTGGAGAACTCATCCTCTTCCCCCCGCTGTCTGTTGGAGGAAGAGGAACCCATTGGCACAGAAATATCTCCCTCCACGGGGATATCTTCCGAGATAGAGACGTCCGAAAGTCCGGCGAATTGTCTGTTAGCCTCGTCCGCCATGTTTGTCTTTCTGTTTGCGTTGCGTTAATCCCGGGAGTTTAGACGACCCCAGCAAGAAGACAGCTAGTAAACAAAGCTCTTGGCTAGTAAATAAAGCTCTCAGATAGTAAATAAAGCTCTCGGAATGGAGCTGGACGGACACTTGTTGCTGTAAAAGCAGCGCAATGTTCAGGTTGGTCCAGTTTTGCTCCGCAGCTCCACGTCAGCTGAGCTTGTTTACTTCCGCAGGACGAGAGGAACGAACATCCGGTTGGTGAGTTCAGGGACAGGATCAGAGAATCGGATTTAACGCTACCAAGCATACGGTTTTTTGTTTACTGTAAATAAGGTTTTTTACTTGGTTTACATCAGAATCAGAATGTTTTTTATAACCAACACATACGATGAATTTGCTTTGGTATAAGTGGTGAATACAGAGACACAGAAAGAAGAATAGAAAGATATAACATAATAAAATGCGAAGCAAAAATAAATAAAAAGTGTACTATTATAAAAGATGATTGTACCAAATGACAACAAACTTCTACTTTAACTCAAGTACAAGATCTGAGTACTTCTCCTACCCCTGTATGCCTGTACTTAGAATTATTCACTTACCGTCACCGTATAATAGTTCCCTTATTATTCGTGATATGGGAACTATTACGCGCAGTACTTGAAGGCATCACCAGCGCTGGCTGAAGACGTCGGTTACTCTGATGACGCACAAATCCGTCGACAGCCGTTGTTCGGGCGTGTGTTTGTTTACATCCCGTGTGTGTGTCTGGTTTTAATCTGTAACTGTATCTTAAAGTAGTTCAACATGTCCTCTAAGTGGAACAGAAAAGCAGAGATTGAGCTTTATCGATCCCCGGTGATCGAAGACTGTGAGAATCTGCTGAGTCTCTTCCAGAAAACGGACTCGGTTCGATTCGAGGTTTTCTCCAAAATATGGAGAGAGATGAACTTCTCCCACATCTTCCAGTGAGTCTCCATGAAACACATCTCTTTATACTGCAGTGGTGGGGAGGAAAGAAGTAGGATACAAGTACCTGTACATCATATTCTATTTACATGTATAGAGACTTCTTGCACTATATTGTATTTCTGTATTTTATTATATATGTTGCATTGTTGGAGGAGCTCAGGTCAGAAGGATTGCATTGCCATTTCTACACCTTTGAATCTTGAATCTTTGAATCTGATGGTTCTTTAATAACGTGACAATACCATCATTCATCTGTATACAGTAGTGCCTTCACATTGAACATTCATATTCAATTTAAGATGCTATTCATTGCACACTATGTACACAATATCCTACTTTTATATGTATATATATTGTTAGCTGTAATGTGCAGAGGTGGGAGAAGTACTCAGATCTTATACTTGGGTAAAAGTAGAAATACTCAGATCTTACACTTGGGTAAAAGTAGAAGTACTCAGATCTTATTTAATTTCTTTATTACTTTGTTCCCAGCGGCGCAGTGAAACACAAGAAGCCGGTCGTTCAGTCGTCTGATCCTGGACTCGGCGTACAGCTTCCTGCTGCCTCCCTTCAGCTTCCAGATAAGAGTGGGGGGGCTTTACCTTCTTTACAGCCTGTTCCAGAGTCAGACTGCAGCGCCTCCAGAGCCGGTGAGGGACACCTCTTCTTCATGTCTCTTCTACATCAACATGTGTCCCCTCTTCTTCATGTCTCTTCTACATCAACATGTGTCCCCTCTTCTTCATGTCTCTTCTACATCAACATGTGTCCCCTCTTCTTCATGTCTCTTCTACATCAACATGTGTCCCCTCTTCTTCATGTCTCTTCTACATCAACATGTGTCCCCCTCTTCTTCATGTCTCTTCTACATCAACATGTGTCCCTCTTCTTCATGTCTCTTCTTCATCACATGTGTCCCCTCTTCTTCATGTCTCTTCTACATCAACATGTGTCCTCTCTTCTTCATGTCTCTTCTACATCAACATGTGTCCCCTCTTCTTCATGTCTCTTCTGCATCAACATGTGTCCCCTCTTCTTCATGTCTCTTCTACATCAACATGTGTCCCCTCTTCTTCATGTCTCTTCTGCATCAACATGTGTCCCCTCTTCTTCATGTCTCTTCTGCATCAACATGTGTCCCCTCTTCTTCATGTCTCTTCTACATCAACATGTGTCCCCTCTTCTTCATGTCTCTTCTGCATCAACATGTGTCCCCTCTTCTTCATGTCTCTTCTACATCAACATGTGTCCCCTCTTCTTCATGTCTCTTCTACATCAACATGTGTCCCCTACTTCTTCACGTCTCTTCTTCATCAACATGTGTCCCCTCTTCTTCATGTCTCTTCTACATCAACATGTGTCCCCTCTTCTTCATGTCTCTTCTACATCAACATGTGTCCCCTCTTCTTCATGTCTCTTCTTCATCAACATGTGTCCCCTCTTCTTCATGTCTCTTCTACATCAACATGTGTCCCCTCTTCTTCATGTCTCTTCTTCATATCAACATGTGTCCCCTCTTCTTCATGTCTCTTCTTCATCAACATGTGTCCCCTCTTCTTCATGTCTCTTCTTCATCAACATGTGTCTCCTCTTCTTCATGTCTCTTCTTCATCAACATGTGTCCCCTCTTCTTCATGTCTCTTCTCATCAACATGTGTCCCCTCTTCTTCATGTCTCTTCTTCATCACATGTGTCTCCTCTTCTTCATGTCTCTTCTTCATCAACATGTGTCCCCTCTTCTTCATGTCTCTTCTTCTTCATCAACATGTGTCCCCTCTTCTTCATGTCCCTCTTCTACATCAACATGTGTCCCCTCTTCTTCATGTCTCTTCTCATCAACATGTGTCCCCTCTTCTTCAATGTCTCTTCTACATCAACATGTGTCCCCTCTTCTTCATGTCTCTTCTACATCAACATGTGTCCCTCTTCTTCATGTCTCTTCTTCATCAACATGTGTCCCCTCTTCTTCATGTCTCTTCTACAATCACCATGTGTCCCCTCTTCTTCATGTCTCTTCTACATCAACATGTGTCCCCCTCTTCTTCTATGTCTCTTCTACATCAACATGTGTCCCCCTCTTCTTCATGTCTCTTCTTCATCAACATGTGTCCCCTCTTCTCATGTCTCTTCTTCATCAACATGTGTCCCCTCTTCTTCATGTCTCTTCTACATCAACATGTGTCCCCTCTTCTTCATGTCTCTTCTTCATCAACATGTGTCCCCTCTTCTTCATGTCTCTTCTTCATCAACATGTGTCCCCCTCTTCTTTTCATGTCTCTTCTACATCAACATGTGTCCCTCTTCTTCATGTCTCTTCTCATCAACATGTGTCCCCCTCTTCTTCATGTCTCCTTCTTCATCAACATGTGTCCCCTCTGTGGAAAGAGACTCTGAAAGTTTCAGGAACAAAGATTCTCTCTCTTTTTGATCCATTTCTATAAAAACCTGTCTGAAAATGAGCTGATCAGGATTTTGGGCCACTTGAATGATGTCATAACGATGTTTTGTCTTGTGTAACCATTAGCCAATCAGCAACCAAGGTAACCCCCCCCCCTCCCTTATTCACCTGAATCCTCCTCCTAGAGCACCATTGAGTTCTTTGTAACCCAAATCTCTCTCAGAGGGGCGTGGGGGGGGGGCTCCTTATTTTCATCTGAAGTAACAGACAGAGAATCAGCACTTTGGAAACAGGGCTGAAACAGAGGGGATTATGGGTAATGCTGCAATGATCTGTTTGGTGTTTCAGCCAATCAGAGACAGGCTCTGGATATATCTGAGACCTGTGATATATTGATGAAGAGGAGGATGATAGGAAGACCTTTAAGTACTGAAAACTAGAGTCCTCTGTTGTGTTTCCGGCTCAGATCCGCTTGGCGCTGAAGGACTGGGAGCACGTGGAGAAGTTTGAGAAAGACGCGATGGACGCTCAGCACATGGACGTCATTTACATCCTCCGACAGCTGAGGCTCCAGAAAGCTTTTCACTTCAGCGCCATGCCCACTCAGGTGAGTTCTACTTTAGAGACACACCCTGTCATGCTTTCTGATCGGTTCCCTCTCCTGCTGTGGCTTTATAGGGTTCTGTGCAGGGGGGACGGAGATCAGGTACTTGAGTAAAAGTAGAAGTAATCAGATATCTACTTCCCCCTCCTCTTCCTCCTCCTCCTCCTCCTCCTCCTCCCAGCTTGCCTTCAGAAAGCAGAGGATGAAGGAGAGCCCGGCTCTGTGTGAGAAGTTCATTGAGAGAGCGTCTCGTCCGCAGGAACTCATCAACATCGACCTGCTGGAGGTGAGAAGAACCCCTCCATTAAAACACTGTTAAATTAAATCATTAAAAGATATTAACCAGAGAGGCAAAAGTACACACTTCCTTTCCTCAAGTAGAAGTACAGATACTCGTGTTTAAAGATACCCTGGTGAAAGTAGAAGTACTGACTAAACTTCTTTACTCAATTCAAAGTAAAGAGGCTTTGAAATGTACTTCAGTAAAAAGTACCCATAACTAGCAGCTGTTTTAAAGAGTACCTGACCTCCCTTTATATTAATAGAACAATAATGTCATTGTTAGCTAATGAAATGTTTCCATGCTGAACAACGGCAACATGACAACGTTTTCATTGGTCCCTCTTCTTTAGAGAAGACCAGAAATGATGGATACACGGATCGTGTTCAAATCAATAGGCACGCAATGACTCTAAATAATAATGATCACGCCACCAAACACACATTCAAACTAAAGGAACCAGCCTGTTTGGAAAATGTGAGAAGTAGAAAGTACAGGTATTTGGGTTCAACATGTAAGAAGTAGAAAGTACAGGTATTTGAGTTCAACATGTGAGAAGTAGAAAGTAAAGGTATTTTGTGTTCAACATGTGAGAAGTAGAAAGGACAGGTATTGAGTTCAAACTGTAGAAGTAGAAAGTACAGTATTTGAGTTCAACATGTAAGAAGTAGAAAGTACAGGTATTTGTGTTCAAAATGTAAGAAGTAGAAGTACAGGTATTTGTGTTCAACATGGTAAGAAGTAAAAGTACAGGTATTTGTGTTCAACATGTAAGAAGTAGAAAGTACAGGTATTTGTGTTCAACATGTAGAAGTAGAAAGTACAGGTATTTGTGTTCAAATGTAAGAAGTAGAAAGTACAGGTATTTGTGTTCAACATGTAAGAAGTAGAAAGTACAGGTATTTGAGTTCAACATGTAAGAAGTAGAAAGTACAGGTATTTGTGTTCAACATGTAAGAAGCAAAAGTCATCAGAAAAACAAGTAGTGGAGTAAAGTACTGATACCAGAAACATGTACTTAATAGGGATGCTAGCGATTATTCGATTTTTCGAATATTCGTTACAGTCTCCATAATCGAAAATTATTTTAAAATTCGATTTTATTTGTATATATTTTATTATTATTTATGTGTTTCTTTTTTTTCCTGGCTTAGTTTCAACCAAAATATAGACTAATGCTAATAATAGTAATAGTATTAATAATTGTAAATGGCCAGTTTGTTTTACTGTAAACTTGGAGGAAGCCAGCAGCGCAGGCTGCGCAGAGTGCAGACTGCTGCTGCCTGCTACACACCGACCCCGCTCCCCCCCCTCTCTCCATCACACGTGCGATTGATTTATTGGCGATATACAGAACAGTGAGAACAACACAACTAAAGATGAACAAAGCAGCACGTTCAAAGAAGAGTTCCTCGTGGAACTACTTCGAACTGATAAGTGCAAATGAAGTAAAATGCAAGCTCTGCGAAAAGACTCAGCTCAACATCAACAATGCGTTCGCATTTGAGTGCGAAGCATGCCAAAGAAGTGCCTACAGAGAAAGACGCAGCACAGCCGGCCATTACTAACTTCACTTCAAGGCCACGTCGTTGTGATGACAGGCGTGCAGGTGACATAACTGCACTAATCACCAATATGATAGTGTTTTTTTTTTTCTCTCCCGCGGGGGGGTGAGGGGGGGGGGGGGGGGGGGCGGCGAATAATCGATTAATATTCGCCAGGGCTGTCCGATTTTCGAATTTGATCATGGTCAGTTTCTGGCATCCCTAGTACTTAAGTACAGTAACAAAGTATTTGTACTCCACTACTTCCCACCTCTGATATTAAGTGTTGTTGTTGTTGTTGTTGTTGTTGTTGTTGTAGGAACTCTCTAATGTCCATGATCTCTACGGGACCCTGAAGTCTTCTGTTTCTGAGACGTCAGAGAATTCTTCTGTTAATCTGATCCGTCAAGATCTGATTCCTCAGCTGCGAAACACCGTGGTGGATTTCTACAAGTGGCAGAGCAGGAATGTAAGAGGAAGATGGTGGATGTGTAATAAGATAAGATTAGATAAGA